TTGTTCTTCAGTCTAGTTGTGGAGCACGTCGCTTCACTGGCCCATGTTGATATTGTGATCATTGTGCTCTTCCGGGCTGAGGCAGTCGATCGCTGGCCATTGGACAGCCACTCACGGTAGCTAATGGCAGCCCACTGTAGCCTACGCCGTTGCCTGCCACTCACGGCAGCCCAGCTCCAGATCGAGCTGCTGTTCGCCATCTTACTGTAGAGGGCGCAGCATCACTGGCACATGTGGGAACCAAACCGGTAGCCCTGCTGCTCAGAGCTCACGCTCCCAAGCCAACTCAACCAACTGAGCCACTCTTGGCTGGCCAAATTTTTGCCTTTCTTAAAAAGATGTTTTTTAGCTTAGTTACTACTAAGAATGGATTTCTATTACAAGACCCAATCTTAGACGATTATGATCACATCCTAACAGCTAATATTAGAGACAGTCCAGGCCTTAACAGCATGACTTTACTGTCAGGCAGGTCTAAGTCAAATCTGACCTTGGAAGTTTATGAAGCTTCAGTTTTCTCATCTGTAAAATGAGTACAAACTTCCTTCTTGGATCTTATTATTATAGGATCAAACTAGATAAATCAATTAGAAGCAATTATTCTTAGGATTGTTATTCATCTTTGGAGGTTCCTCATCTGTCCAAATGGAAAAAATATGTAACCCTTAGTAATACTGTGAAGATTTCAAGATAATGTGTGAAAAATGCACCTGTCACACAGTAGAACATATGTATTGTCTTCCTCCCGCTATCCTGGTTCCTGCTGTTTATTGTTATGTTAGAAATTTAGTTTCTCTTAATAGTATTTTCCTCTTTCTACTTTATAGTTCTTTGATTAAAACACATGATATCCTTGGGGGGAAATTTTAATAAACCTCAACCAGTAATAGTATAATTTAATAAATTACTTCTTCTATCCCTAGTTATTGTGATTTCTCCCCTATAAATAAATTCAACATTTTCACTCACCTTTCCACTATACGCACTGAGTCCATATGTAGTGAGAGACTTTCCTCCAACCAAAACAACATCATCTCCAAATTTATAAGAAGATTCAAGAAGTGATTCAACTGTGAAAGGAACTGTTTCCATGCTCTCACGGTCTCGGTCCCACTGGAAGAGGCCTCCATCCAGGGAAGGAATGATCATCTTATTCCCAAGTACCTGAAATAAAAGCCAACTGTTAAAAGGATCTTAACTGTCAGAGTAGTAACTAAGAGTTGGGAGTCTTGAGCCTGATGTCCTCTAGCCTCCTTCTCAGCAGTGAATGAAGCAGCACAGGTCATCAACCAAAAGCAATGGAAAAGAACCGCCAGTCTCCCCAGATGCCCACATGTAGTACTCCAGTATGGGTTCTCTCAAACTCTGTTTGCCAAGTGTCCCACAATGCCAAGTGGGTTACCAAAGGAGTTTTATGATCAAGTGAATTCAGGAAGAGGTTACTACAGGACTTCTTATAGTGTTTAATATGCTAATGTACAATATAATTTTCTACTAAAGGAACAGTAGGTGCAGTACTTTCCAGGCCTATTTTATTCAGGCCTATTAGGCTCATAGGCTCAGATCCAAGGAACACAGGTTCAAGCAGTATCCCATCCTTACTTTCTCAAATCTGCTATATGCTAGAAGCCTGGTAGCCAAGCTTACTGGTTTTATGCTCTCAGTTGTCCTTCCTTCTCAAAAGTGTTTACAGAGGGCTTCCTATGTGCCTGGTACTATTCTGTTGCTTAGGGTAGATCAATGAGCAAAACAAATAAAAATTTCAAAAAATCACTGCCATTGTAGAGCTCAAACTCTGGTGACGGGAGACAAACAACATAGTGAACAAATTATGGGGTAGGTTAGGTGATAAACGCCAGAGGGAAAAATTGAACAAGATAAAGGGGGACTAGACAATGTGCACGTGAGAGGGGAGGGGGCTGTCAGTAAGGAGTTCAGGGTAGACCCCATTGAGAATATAACATGTGAGCAAAACCTAAACCTGAGAGAAACCAGAAGGCACAAGATGATGTTGATGGTTGACAGCAGCAGTGTTGTTGAAGGTGGTCAGATTTGGGATATAATTGGAAGGTAAGGCCAACAGGATTTCATGGTGGATTCCCTCTATGAAATGAGCATAAGAAAAGAGTTCAGCATGAGTCTAAAGGTTTTAGCCAAGAATTATCTTGTTTCTTGAGAAAGAGCATTAGTGCATGGATTGGTGACACTGACCCTCTGGCATTTAAAAATACATACAATTTGACTTACTTCAGCTAATGACAAAACTATTTTCCTGATCATCTAGGCTCAGAGATTTGGGAAAATGGAATTATGAAAGAAATATGAATTTAAAAAACAAAAAAAGACTCCAAACAAATGATGGTCTTAACTTTTTTACAAAATTTCACAATGCACATTCCTTAAGCAGCAGAATCTTTTCTTTAAAGGGATACTTACTTGAAAACTCCCATATGGTTGGTGAGAGTTATAGGTTGGTACCCAGATCACATATCCTTCCCTTCCACCAGCTTTGTCCCACAGCCCTGGGGTTCTGGAGGACCAGCTGAAAATCACTATTCTTTTTTTTTTTTTCCCCAGAATTTAAAAGGTTTTATTCTTAACTATTTTTGAAAGATTTCTCCTTGAAATCAAATATTTAGTAACAGGTGATAGGAACATCAGCTCTCTCTTCCTGTATTCTCTGACTGGGGTAGCTATTTCTCCTTAATCCTAGCCTGCAACCCAGGACACCGTGGACTCCAAAACCAATCCTGGCTCCAGGCAGGGGTGACAGAGGGAGCGCCGCGTCATCTACTTTATAAATCACTACTCTAATCCACTACTTTCTTTCATTTTCCAGTTCAAATCTTTTTATCTCCCCATGAGCTACTATAATAGCCTCTTTATACTTCTTAACTGGACATTTCCTCAGTCTAACCTGTCCATATCACATAGTCTCAGGAGTCAGCATTAAGCTTGTTATGACACTATTCAAAAACCTTCAAAGCTCTCTATTATCTTCTTATCAAATCCTAAGTTTGACATTTAAAAGTCCTCTCTAAACATGACCTCAAACAACCTTTTTCTTCCTTGTTCTTCACTTTTCCGCACATGGGCAGAAATCAGGCATCATTACTTAAGCACGATATTTAATGTTACTGTTATTGTTCAGTTATGTCATAGTCAATGCCATTTCTTCTCCCTGGAACACTCTTCTACACCAACACTGCCCACTGAAACCCTATCTGGCCTTCAAGCCAGCATCACTTATGGTTTTGCTTTGAAATCCAAGAAAATCTTGGCAGTGCAAATTTGCTGACAAAAGTCTTCCCATTCCTTAATACTGTACTTATTGTTTGCTGTTAACTATACTTTGCTGAGATACTACTACATTCTTAAAAATTGTTTGTTGTACCTCTAAGAATTATTTATTAGGTATGCTAATGATTGCACATTAATATTTATACAGTGGCTATAAAAGTAATGCACTCAAATCTAGTGCCCAGATTTTGTTAACTAATTCCATTCCCCACCAAAGGAACCAAGGCTTCTCAGAGAAATGGCTGATTCCAGGGCTACAGGGTAGGTGCAAGACGTGCATTTAACATCTTTATTATTCAGAAAGTACAGACATAATTAAAAAAAAAATTTTTTTTTTAAATAAAAGATGGGAGTATGCCACTCACCAAATCTGGAAGAATTTAAGCACCAAAATAATTAAGTACTGAATTATAAAGTATTGGTGAGTCAGGCCGGCTGAGTGGCTCAGTTGGTTAAAAGCTCGCTCAGGAGTGCGAGCTCTGAGCAACAGCGGTTTGAGTCCTGGTCCGAGCTGAGCTGCTGCTGAGCTGCCAACAGGTGGCAGGATAGCTCAGCTAAAAAAAAAAAAATACTGGGGGGAGAAAAGAGGAATTCATGAGTCCAGGCTGATAACAAATAAATAAAATATGGTGGAGAAGGGAGGGCTCTTGCTGCAATAAAATGCCAAGTGTCTACCGGCAAGTGTGACAGGAGGGCTGCAGGTGGAAAAATTAGCATTTTGCCATAGACTGTGTAGATGCATGACCAACACACTGTAGACCTAAAGTTGAAGTAGAATAATATTGTATTAATATTGTATGTCAATTATAACTAAGTGTGTGTGTGTGTGTGTGTGTGTGTAGTGTATGTATATATATATAGTCACAGGAAGTGGAGAATAGCATAAGGAAGATAGTCAATGGTATTGTAACAGCTATACATGATGTCAAAGGGGTAGTAGATTGGGGGTGGGGGTTTATCACTTTGTGAGGGGTATAAATGTCTAACTATTACATTGCTTTGTACACCTGAAACTAATAATAAAAAAAGAGAAAAATTAGCATTTTGCAATTGTCACAGTAAAGACTGCATCAGGCGCAAGTCAGTAGTGATGCTAAATCTAGGTGGAAATTTTGATGAGGAGCAGGATACTTGCATGATCTTAAAGTATTTACCCACAGACTGCTTATTAGTTACAATAAATAAAAAAACAAATAAACAACAAAGAAAAACCAACCAGTAATTATACAGGGGAGAATTCAGACAGTACCTTGATGGGAAGTCCGAAATTAACAATTGATGAATGATAGACGTGATGCCCTAAGAGAGGATACAGCATTCTCGCCAAGAATACACAGCCTGAGTCTAATCACAAGAAACATCAGACAAGTACAAAGTGAGGACATTTCAATTCCTAAATAAAAGGGCAGAGATTGTGTCCTTCAAAAATGCTAGCATCATAAAAGACAAAGTCTGTGGATAAAGCCAGATTAAAAGAGGCTAACATGACCAATAAATATACTACCTGACCCTAGCCTAGATGCTGTACTGAGATAGAGGATGCTATGAAAGACATCATTAGGTCGACTGATAAACTTGGAATATAAATGTAGATTAAAGTAACAATATAAATTTATGAAGTTGATAACTGTACTGTGATTATGTAAGAGAATATCTCTATTGGGAAATACACACTGAAGTATTTAGGAGTAAAGGGCCATGATGGCTACGTAATGTCTTTTCAAATGTTTCAAGAAATAAAATGTGTTTGGGGGGTTAGGGAGGAGAGAAAGGGGGAGGGAGGTGGAGAGAGAGGGTCTCAAATAATAAGCAAACAAGGTTTTGGTAGGTAAATCTGGGTATATAAAGGTGGGGGGGTTTAGTAACACTTTTATTTGTGCAATTTTTTGTAGTTTGACATTATTTCCAAATAAGAGGTTAAAAAGAAATGGAAAAAAAAAAGATACTGAAGAGCCTTGCGGGGAGCTATGTAATTAAAGACAGAGGCTATACAATTAAATCGAAGGTTCATCATAAATCTCAGTATTTAAAGATCTCCATTATTACTCTTTATTTAAAAAACGGTTGATTTTAATAAACTTTCAAATGACATCAATATATATCCCACCTCATATTACCTTAGAGTTTTAGCATTGCTATTTTATTCTTTGCTTTCTTATATTTCTTGATAACAACTGATAACCAATCTTATTTCCAAAAAATTTAAACTTTTCTTTTTATCTTTTGTCAGATGTCCAACTTGAAGTTGCCACTAAGAAGAGATATAGGTCATAGTGTACATACCCTATGATAACAATATGTAGTATTTAGCCAATATGATCTCCCATTTTGAGTTATAGATGTTAAAAATCAAGTATTTATTGTTCTTTACCTTTTGTATTATGTTAGGTATTCTATATTCTGTGTACCAGAACAGTAAATTCATATTATGATGAAGTTAAAAGAAACAGGTATTTTAGTTGTTCAATCATGTCAACAGTAGTACGAGGTAAGTACCAACATGGAAAGTAGGTGTGCATCACTGTAAGGAAGAGAAAGAGGAGGTAATGGGTCTGCAGTGAAAGGGTAACATTAACTGGTTTCCTCTTCCTTTAAGAACCTCTTTTCCAGGATAACTATTGCATTGTTCTGTACACCTGAAACTAACAATAAAAAAATTATATAAAAAAAAAAGGAAGAGCCCATCTCTCGGAGCCCCGCCCAGCTCCCGCCTCTGCTGTGAAGGCTCCCTCCCTGACCCCAGCAGGTCTCTGGCACCACAGTACAGACTAAAGCCTGCACCTTTCCCTCCATCGCTGTGGTCACATCCTGGGGGTGTCTGATCTTTCAGACCTGTATGTCTCAACTTTCCAGTATGATAATAA